TGCTGATCTGACAAAAAAGAAAATAGGTATAATTTTGATTCATTCACATTGTATGGCTTTGGTATGTGGGCTGTTGCCCTTTTTCCATTTGACAATCTAAGGAATAAGAGGTCAGTGACCCTGACTAAATAATCAGGTATTGCATGTTTTAAAAATTCCTGTGGCACACCAGTTGAAAATTGCTGATCAAAGTGAGGACAGTAGGCTTGCTTTGCATCAGGACAAGCCTACATTATTTCTTCCACCCTGCTTGCTGTGCAAATCTCACATAGAACTTCCGGAATACCCCGGCTTGTGTCTAATTACTCCCTAATACTCTCCTGACTGATTTCTTACTCACATAGAGGTGGTATTCCTGGAATTTCCCTGGAATGCCTTTAACCCAGCCCATATTCCTGTTCAAATCTGCTTCATTTGGATTTCCCAAATGAAGCATTCTCTTATTCAATGGTAATAGATCTCCTTTCATTAGATTGTCCAGCATCTATAATACTCGGTCACTTAAATATATCCTACCTTATACAGTGTGTGTGTGTGTATGTGTGTGTGTGTGTGTAAATGTGTGAGCTGATTCTTATTTCCTTAAGGGCAAGGCTTACAGTTCATTCTAATTTTTCTTTTATAATACTTTGCATTTGATTGCACTCAACGTCAGTGCTTATAAGTATTCACAGATTGATTCATAGTTACGGACATACTAATAACAGACGTTAGTTTAAAAAAAAATAAGAACATTCTAGAGCAGCAGAAGAAACCAAACAGAAAACCCTGACCAAGGCCATTCCATTGTGCAAAGCAGTAGGCTTAGTGGCTAGAGTCACACTTGCCTCTGGTGCATGGTTTCCCAACTTAGCTCTGCCACTGGCAATTCCTTACCGCTTTGTCCAGGTGGGCATCAGCGACCCGCAGCAACTGAAAAAGGTAGCCATTCGAACGTCCTTTATTGATCAGATCTAGAGCTTTCCCAGCCAGGAGCTCAGTAGCATTGCAGTCTATGGGACTCACAGCATAGGAATATCTAAGTGTGATCCAAAGGATGAAAAGCTGAGCTGCAATAAATGTCTTCATTTTGTTAAAATGGGAAAACCATCCCTTGCTATGGTATACCACAGCAGAAAATTTTATACAGACTTTTTAAACATACACACAGACACACACACACACTATTGATTAATCAGTCTTTATAGATTTTTGTTGTGTAAACTGTTTGTTCACCTTGACCCCCAGGTTAAAATCTCAATCAACATGCTGTAAATGATTAATGGGTCCTGGGAACAGAAAGTTGAGACATGCCTCTGATGAGTGGGTGAAACTGTGAGCTGCAAAAATCTGGATATTTCTAGTAGGTACCAAGTCCAAAGTGTTTTTGCCCATAAGCACTGCCTCATTCATTGTGGTGGGGGGTAGGGTAAGCAGTAAAGTAACTTTCCTCCATCTGGCGGTCTGTCTCAGCCAGGGATTGCCACCATCGGTCTCCTTGTTGGATTATAGCACTAGAGGTCTTTAGCAGAAAACAGCCATATTATTTAAGGGAGGACCTGAGTTCAGGTAGAATAAAATGATTAAGAGGTTGTTGCTTTGTAGTCAGAACTGAATTTCAACTCTGTTGTTACCCTCTTCCTGTGTGATGCTGGGTAAGCTATGAAATGGCTGATTTTTTGTTTCCTCATGTATAAAATGGGGATTAATGCCTCCTGGCAGGATTGTTTTAATAACTTAATAAGAAAACATATAAACTAAATAATGCAATTCTTGACACAGATTCAGGTGCTGAATAAATGATGCTATTGACAATTGTTTTTTGTTATTATTATTATTACTAGAAGCCCCGTGCACAAAAAATTGTGCACTGGCGAGGGGCAGGGGTGCTCAGCCCAATCTGTGCCCTCTCACAGTCTGGGACCCCTCAGGAGATAACCACCTGCTGGTTTAGGCCTGCTCACCTGGTGGCAGATGGCACGCCCAATCCCGCAGTGTCTGCCCCATCTCCCCTGGTCACAGATGGCAGGCCCGGATCCCGCGCTGGGGCCGGCGGTGGCTTGGGATCGCGCTGAGGTCTCTGTGGATGTTCAGGCTCCGAAAGCGTAGGTTTTCTTTCTTGGTTTTGTTTTTACTTCTTGAAATTGAAATGTGTTAAAAAAAAATTTTTTTTCTGCACCTTTTTGGGTCCCAGGGACCCCGCCACGCACCAGCTGTCCTTTCCCAGCTCGGTGCTCCTTCGAGCTTTTCACGGAGGGGCAACCTTTTAGGTTACCAGGTGCATTGAGAGAAGCCCAGCTTTCTGAAAGCAAGTGTTTGATTTGGGGATTTGTGGTCTGGCTGAGGAGCCCCCAGGGCCCACTCAGAACAGTGGGGGCAGTCACAGTGAGTGACCAAAGAAACCAGAGAAAAGTTAGGAGACAATAAACGGTTCAATCTCTAATTCCGCATGTTGCAGGAGCCGAGGTGCGCCCTGGATTTTCCAGGGAGAGAGTGAGCGAGTGAGTGTCCACTGCCCCTCACACAGCTGGTCACTTGGAGTGTGACTTTCGCCAGCAAGGGCGTGGACTCGGCCACCTGAGCCTTGTTCCCGCCTTTGCAGATGCATGTGTGTGTGTGTGGAATGGGGAGAGGCAATTAGGACAAGGAGGCGGGTGCGTGCTCTGGGGGTCACGAGGTCAGCGAGGCCTAGGTGCACCAGACACGCAGGGGCCACTGCCCAGCTGTTGGGGCCAGCAGGGAGCCGCGGTGGCCACCTGCCCCCGGGGTAGCTGGGAGCCGGCGCTGCTCCGTGGCACTCTGCTTTCCCCACCCCAGGAGGTGCTGTTTGTCAAACTTGGCCACCTTGGCAGGAGGCACCTGCCTGCATGTTCTCACCTGGAGAATTGTTTCCTTTGCAGTCCTTGGATCTGGGCTCAGGAACCTTAGCCTCACAGAATGATGGGGAGGGGGCGGGGCGGGTGGTGTGTGTGTGCAAAGAAAAGGGGTCTGGAACCCATCAGTGTCTGCATTCTACCTGTGAATCCCGCCAGGCCTCCCACCTTCCAGGGCAGGAGAGAGGAGGCCGCTTCAGTGTGAGCAGGACTCCGGTCTGGCTTGGGTTCAGTCACCACAGGTCTCCGGAGGGCCCCTTGGCCACCGTCTTGGCGCAGAGAGTGAAGGCGCCTTCCCTGGGCCTGACAAACCCACCCGAACCTGGCCTCCCCACCTTTGTGCGAAACTTCAGAGGTTGGGGTGGCCCTTGCTTGCCCGGCCCATAGGCAGTGTGACCCCGCGATGCAAGGCAAAGCCCAGGAGCACTTGGGGCCTGTATCACTGACCCAGGGCGGGCAGGGTTTGCCAGTGTGTGGCTGTTCCACCCTCTCCTGCAATTCACTGCACTTTCCAGGTGCCTCCTCCTGGGATTTCCCTATTCTCAGGCTCTCCTGGCATCTACGGCCTCCTTCCCTCCAGGGCCCGAGGTCGGTCCTGCTAAGGGTTTGGGGTTCTTCCTGTGGCCTCCGCCTGTGCTTGGCGCCGACCCCGACCCCAGGCGGGAGCCAGGCTGGAGGCTGGTAGCCACTCGGTATGAGCGTGACCCCGGTGCGGAGGACATGGGGGCGGGCCGAGCCTACAGCTCCGCACTGGCCAGAAGAGCGTGTACTGCCGGCCTTAGGCACATTGGTTCCCACCGGTTCCTAGCACTCCGAGTGGCCTGGCTGCATAGCCTGGGCCTGAAGCCACCAAAGCTTGGAGGGCCCCGCGCCTGTCCGCGCACCCCCGGCCCGGGCTTCTCCTCACAGGAAATGCACTTTATTTCACTTTGGAAGGCTGGTAGGATGCTCGCAGACTCCTTGGGCTCTGCTGCGAGCAGGAAGGGGCGCCCAGGATTGGGCCGCCTGTCTCCGGTGGGTGGGCGAGGGCTTGGCGAGGAGATGGACACTGCTTGCTTTCACCCCAGCCCCCGCTTACCCCCAGGTTGCATTGGGACCTGTCTCCAGTGGCGGGGGCGAGGGCTTGGGCAAGGTGATCGGCACTGCTTGCCTTCCCCCCAGCCCCCGCCTGCCCCCGGATCGCACATGGGAGTGGGCCTCATGTCTCCAGTGGGCGGACGAGGACTCCAGCGAGGCAATCAGCAATTGCTTTGCCTGAGCCTCTGACCCCAGGTCACATATGGGGGCCTGGATGGCGGCTTGCGCTGTCCCACCCTGCCTGCAGTATACAAATTAGCCGCCATCTTTGTTGGCAGTTAATTTTCATATCTCGCAGATTAGCCAATGGGAAGCATATCGGAGGTACGGTTAATTACCCTTTTTGTCTTTTATTAGATAGGATTGTGCCTGAGAATAAGGTGAGGACACTAGCTATCATTCCAGTTCTCCATGGCTCTTAAAACATGCCAAAAATATTGGTTCCTGTGGAAGAGAACTGTGGTGAGGGTAGAAGTCAAGTCATTTGATGCCCACCCATCCCAGAGAAGGGGTTAGAGGGAATACACCATTGGGAGAGCAGCTCAGCATTGGGGCACAGAGCTGGGATAAAACTGATCCCTCAGCCCTATTCCTCCAAAGAAACCAATATACCTATATGGATCCTTTATACCAGAAGAACCCAGGAACATCAGGCGAGAGGGAATCAGCCCAGATTCCCTTCACACTTAGACAGCATCCCCCTCCCTGCTCTCTTCTCTGTAGTGAGTGTCTATAAGTGTCCACAGCCATGGTGCTCAGCCTTAGCTAGAATCGCCTGAGGAGTTTTGAAAAGTCCTTATGTCCAGGCCTCCCCTGAGAGCAATTCAACCATGATCTCTGGGTACTAAGCCCAGACATTGGTAGTTTTGAAACTCCAAGATGATTCAAATGTGCAGTCAAGATTGAGAACTACAGGGGCTCCAGACAGCCACCAAGGATGAGAATAAGGAGTTCAAAGAGAGAGGGAAAGGGCAGGGCATACCACACCAAAAGCAGACCACACTCCCCCAGAGTCACAGATTGGCTTAGGGAGTGCTAAGAGTGGAAGAGACACATTTTGACTGTTGTTTGATATCAAACTTTTAATATTAACAACAATAGTGTTTAAATACCCAAACAATACCACCCCAGCACAACTTACAATGACAGGAATAGTATGAAATCTGGCCAAGGTGTTATTAAGGGGCTCTCACAAAGGTGAGTTGGGGGAATGCTATTGATTAAAACAAAAACTGTTTTATGCTTCAATGAATTGAGTTCCTTCATTAAGTCTTTCAATTATTGCTGAATTGGTTATGTTCAATATGGAGAGCCCAGGGCAAACCAAATGCTGGTAAAGAGAAAGGGATGGGACAGGGGAAAGCCACCAAAGATGAGAATAAGCTTTTCCTGCAGTACTGTTTTGCTAAGACTTAGGTGTACTCATGAGAGCCATGCCTTGTCTTCCTCTTGCTTTATTGAATCTTAAATACAGACATAATGCTAGTGATGCCATCCAGTTTCTGGGGTAGCTTCAGATGAGACAGACATCTCAGGGAGCCGGTGAGAGTGCTAGGGTGTCAATGGTCAGGAGACAGAATGATGGTGAGTAGGAGAGATAGTCTGTCCTGGTGAACTGTCTGATCTAGTGTTGCAGCAGAATGCCCTGGAGACCAATCAGCCAGCACTCCGAGGGAGGAAAGTATAAGCTTTATTTCGCAGATCTGCTACTCCAGGGTTATTCTGGATCCAAAGTCTGAACTGAACTTGTGGGGAGACTCTGACCTATATATCTCCTCCTGTGACAGGAACCTGAGTGTCCCCGCAGCTCTGCCCAAATCAGTCTTGGCAGGGCCTTGGGGTCATGCTCCACAGCTCCACCCAAGTCAGTCAGAGTGGGGAAGTAAGACTACAGTTTTAACCAGATGCTAAAATGGGTTGCAAGCCCCCCTCCATTATATTCCTTTTCACTAGGAAGTGACGTTTAATATTGGTGAAGCTTCTTACTGGCTTTGGGAAAGCTTCCTGGCAGTCCTGAGCCAGAGAATGGCCAATGATGTGGAATGGAGAGGGGACTAGTGACTTTTCACAAGATGGTTATCAGGGCAGCTGGGGGTAGATAGATCTTCACCTCCATGTATTCTTTCTGGCATGCAGGGT